TTCAAAACATCTAGAGATGCATAAAAAAAAGGGAAGCTGTGGCAGAATTTTCTATCAAGGCATATTTGGGTTTCATTGACTATTCAACTATAATGTTCATTTAGACTTAATCAGTATCTTAACTTCACAATATACAACTTTATTTGAACACAAATACATCTGCATTATAGTTCTTTCTGATTAAAGTTCTCTTCATGACATGTATTTTTCTATGTACTCAATGATAATGATGTATTAAAATTGAGGATACAGACACTCAAAAAAGACTACCTGGTTCTATTACTTCCTGTAAAATTTTGAGCAAGTTCTTTCCTGTTTTGAAATTAAGACATTATAATTACATCATTTTCCACCTTCCCTTGCCTCCCTCCAACCCTTCCCAAACATCCTCCTTCTCTCTCTCTCTCAAATTAATGCTAATTTTTTGTTGTTAAATACATAATATATCATATAAATGTATATAGTCTCATATATATGTAATTTATACACATGATACATGTAATGTTATATATATATGCATATATATAAAGCCAGCTCAATCTATCTGTTGCTTACATGTATATGATATCATAACTGACCACTAGGTACTGGGAAGACCATTTCCTCACTCTTAGCATGCCTTAGTTGTCTGTAGTTCTTTGACAAGGGTTAAGGCCCTGTAAGATGTTCCCTGGAACCTTCTTAACTCACTTCATACCTTAATTTTTTTTCAACAGAAAACTATCTGATAATATTTTGATGGAGATTAAATAAATTATTGCATATAAAGTGAAAGAAAAACACTGGCTCTTAGTAAATATCAAAACATTATTGTAGCTATTGTTACCAACTTAGTCAGCTGGTATACTGACATGGAAGCTATCTGAATAACATACAAGCACAGAAGAGAAACAAATGAATATCATTGGGTCCTGATACACATTCTTTTAAAGAAACAAGTGACAGGCTAGATTTGGTCTAGGGGACACAGTTGCAGCCCCTTGACACAGAATGACCTCCATACTCTCCAGGAAAACAGGGCTGATAGGAGAAGAGCAATGCTACTAGCTCACCACAGCCAGGGACAGAAGCAGCTCACACTTCTACCCACATCTCTACATGAGAGAAGGTCTACAATATGTTCCCACAAGGGTCCACCAACACTGAAATCTCTTCCCTGCCCTCCCCACAACACACAATGGATTCCGAAGGCTGATGGGTGCTCTGGGGTTCTTGACACAAACTGATAATTTCCATGTTAATTTTTAATATCTTCACACTACTCAGTAAATAGATACATTGTCCTAAGGTATTTTTAATTTCATTGGCATGTTTGAATATACCTTTCTTTTTCTACTAGGAAGAGTAATGTGAAAGCAGAGATAATGTCATTTACATAGTGGTTATTACATCTGCTGCCTAAGACTTTATACCATACCCTGTTGAATCAATTCAACAGATAGTCCATATGAACAAAAGATGATATTCTTACACGGGTGCTTTTCCAGCTGCAGCCATTCTCTCACTCCTGATACACTGTCCAAGAGACAGTTCTCAATGTTTTGTCTCTACAGCCTATTCATGCATCCAGTCAATTTTTATTATGTTTAAAACTCAGGTTGAAAATAATTCTGCTAACTTATTTCCCTAAATTTAATGCCACCTCTCCATAATTAAATATACTACCAGATTCAACAATTCTCTTCATTTCATCAAACTTTGTACATCAAAAGCCAAGAGTATCAGAGCTGGGTATGTACTAACGAAACAGAGCACAGGCCTAGCATGGACCAAGGCCCCATTTTTCTGATAACTCAATAAGATGGGGGTGTGGGCTATGAAATTGATCAGAATTTTTACAAGAAGAAATATAATAATCAAAAAACACTTTTAAATATGTTCAACATTGTTAGCTATCAGAGAATCACAAATTAAAACAACTTTCCATCTCACTCCCATCAAAATAGCTATTATCAGGAAAAAAAAAAAAAAAAACAATGTTGGTGAGAATGTAAACTGCTACAGCAGTATGGGAATCAGTCTACAAGGTTCTCAAAGAACAAAATACAAAACTACCATATGACCCAGCTATACAGTCCTGGCCCATATGCCAGGACTCTATGTCCTCTTACAGATTAATATCCATGTTAAATGCTGGTCTATTCACTGTAGCTAGGGAATGAAATCAACCTAGTTGTCCATAAACTAACAAATATTGAAAATGTGGTACCTATTGAAAATATAGCTCTATTCATCACTAAAGAGAAAATATATTGAATGAGTAAGGCATCTCAGAAAGACAAATGTCATAGTCTCTCTCATGTATCCTTCCTAGCTTTGAATTTTATGTTTCTGTGCTTGACTGGAATATCTGCACAGGTCTGGAAGCAAGAAAGGAGTCATGACTGATGAGATCTTGATGAGGAGGGAGAAGAAAGTCACATGTGATATAGACATCTGGGTAGGAAGGAAACACTAGAGATAAAAAGGTTTAAACAGAGATGGTGGGGGGCAGAGAGGAAGCTGGCAGTGACAGAAAGACGAACCAAAACTAAGGATGCATGAGAAAGCCATATAGGGGCCTACCCCTTATAAACTAACTGAAATATATCATTTTAAAAATGAGTTTTAACAGAGATACCCTGAATGGTGGATAATGCTGTGCCCAGAGGTCATAGGATTTTAAATAAAATAATTCTCTGTGAGTTGTTTGCCAAAGGGCTTCTCAGAAGCCCCCCAATGAATACAGTTTCCACTGCTCTTGGCTGCTTGCCAGAACAACAGGTAAGACCTGTTGCTGAAGACACCACAGACTTTGGTTAGAGCACACAGAGAAATGAACATGGAACTGAGCTTGAAGCTTCCTTGCTACTAGATAATGCTCATGAGAACTGTTTGAAAGATAACAAGTCATTTTCTGATTGGAGTCCACTCCCTGTTAAGAATTATACACACTTGGTGAGCCCCAATTGGGAGGGTACTGAACCCTAATTTAGAGGTAATCTACTACTGTTGTTTTGTAAATAGATATATTTACTGCCTTCTAATGTTTATGTTCTTAGCCCCAGAAAAGTGTGTTGCCTGCATTAGACAGAGTCTTTGGTGCTGGTGGGTTTTTTGTGTGTTTTGTTTTCTGCAGGGTGGGGGTGGTAGTTAATGAGAATAAGTAACAGAATATCTCTATCACACACTCCAAGGCCCGGGAACACCAAGTAAGAGAAAGCAAAAATCTGTGAAAGCTTGGAGGCTAGGAAAACTCGTTATGAAAAGTTGACTTCCAGATAGGACACACAGCATGAGACCTGCACATGATCGATGCTTTGGCACGCCATCAGGAGTCCCCCACTCCTTTGTGAGTACTGGCATTGTAGTCCTCTCTGCTGCATAAGCAATGTTTCAATCCAGTCGTCCTTCCTTTTAGCATAACAATGTAACACTGTTTTGCCCACCTTTGAAATTCTGTATCATATGGATTCCAACTAACTGCTGGCTTGACAAAACATGGGCAGCCAAAATACATTCATGGCCCAGTCCAGATTCTTAATCTAGTTGGCACACCAACCTCCTGCAGTCTCCCAGCCTAGTGGAAGTTGTCTTAAGAGCTAATTCGTGTTCCTGCTTTAAACCCCCACTTTCCTTCAGTCTGCCCCAACACAGGAACCACAGGGACGCTTTTAAACAGACGTGTTGGATCATCAGCTCACTTATATTGTCAGAATTCTCCAAAGGCCTTTCATTTTATTTTAAGAGGTATTACGATAGTTCAGTATACACACTAAGCAGCCCCTATGGAAAAGGTTAAAACTGTATACACTACTCCCTCCTCCTCAATGCTACTGCAGCCATACGGACTTCTTTCCTTCTCCTTGAACACAGAAACAGGCCTCCATGGACTTGCTTCTCTATGCCTAGAAAGCTCTGGACCAGAGAGCCTACGGCTTGCTCCTCAGCTGGTCAAGTTCGTTGAAATATGTTGCTTTCTCTTGAAGACTCTTGTATAAGACAATTTTAAGTTGCTAAACACACAAACCTTATATTTTCCACCTTACAGGTACACCCTTTTATTTTTCTAATGTATATATTTCCCACTAGAAAGTGCAACCAAGAAACTAAGGGTTTCTACTTTATTCTAATGCCACGGACAGTGTTTGGTAGGTAGTAAGCAACGGATATGTGTTAACTATGTGTGTAGGCAAGAATCAAGCTCTCCATGTGACCTAGTAAGCTTTACGTAACTGATAAATTATATAATTCACTCTTGCTGGAATTCTAATAAAAAATCTGGAATACTCTTTCTGTGGTATCAAAATGCATTAGATCATTCTCATGACGAAACAATTGTATTTCTAGAAATTCTGAGATCAGAGATAACTGCAGATTTTAAAAGAGAGAAATCCCTTAGAAACCCTCTTTTCACGAAGAATTTCTGGTGCTACAAAGAAGTGAAGAGAGCCCTTCTTAACTACTAGCTTAAAATCCAACCTTTCCTTCAATCTCCTTTGTCCTGGCTCTGAGATCCTGAACAAAGGGCACCCGGAGGGCAGGGACTGAAGTTTGCACCTTCCGCGGTGGAGCGGGTGGCTGACTGAAAGGAGTAAACGCCGCCGCCAGTGCCGGGCTCCCGGAGAAGAACGTCACCTGAATTCCGTCCCAGTTCGGCGGGACTGAACTCCACCGAGTAACTTAGTTCAGGGCTGGGCGCTGCCAGCGCACACCGAGACCGAGTGCTGGGGATGCTTAAGTCGGGCGGGGGGCGCGGGGGGCGCGGGGGGCGCGGGGAGCGCGGGGGGCGCGGGGGGCGCGGGGGGCGCGGAGGGCGCGGGGACGGCCGCCCCCCCCCCGACCCCCCCGGCTGCTGCCGAGGCCACCGCTGCAGGGGCGCCCGAGGCGACGGCCCGGCTCGGCACGCCGCGTTGGCAGCGACGCCCGGGGCCGCGGAGGCCGCCGACGAGCGGCGCGCGCCCGGCCTGGCCCCGGCGCCCCGCGGGCTCCCGCGGGCCGAGGACGGGGACTCGCATTACCTGAGCGGCGCCGCGGGTCTGCGGTACGGCGGCCGGCGGGGCCGGTTTTCGGCAGCCGTAAAGCGCGCGCGCGCGCGGGCGGGCGGGCGAGCGGGCGAGCGGCGACCCCCACCCCGGCTGGCGGTCTCTGGCCGAGCGTCGCCTCCCCGTCCCTCGGCGCGGGCGTCAGCCAGGGCCAGCGCTGGGCCGGCGGCTGAGTCACGGGAGCCGCGCTGGCAAGGCGGACCGAGGGCCGCGGGAGGGTGGACGGCGGCGAGCGGCTCGCACGGGGAGGAGGGCTTTCAGGGACCCCGCCGAACTGGACACTTGGCCCCATGGCGGCCCCCGCCCCCCAGGCGCTCTCTGTGTGATTCCATCCTCTGGTTATGCTTTGGATCCCATGAAACTTTCGAAAGATTAAAAAGAGCATGGTTTTCTAGACCAAATACACAGGTTCAAGCCCGTGCCTCGGTTTCTCAAACAGTGCTGTGCTGTTTAAATACAGAAAGCGGAGCTGGACCGTGGTGGGATGGCCTAGGCGAGGGTCTTGCGCTCAAGCCTGGGGTGGCAGAAGCTGGGATGCCGCCGCACCCCGCCCACCCACCGGCCGCGCCCTGGAGGGGAGGTAGAGGCAGAAGGAGCTGAAGTTCGAGGTCATCCATGCTCACTTAGGGAACTGAATTAAATTATGGAGGGAGGGAAGAACTGAGGAGGGAAAGGAAAGCCTGAAAATCTGCGAGAGACGGAGAGAAGAGTGCACACAGCAGAGCAATGCATTCACTTGCTATTTAGAAATTCATGACAAACTCTGTCCACTGAGGGAGGTTATTTAAATATGTAAACAGATAAACAACTGCCTGTAAACGAGCCCCTTGGGAAGGCTCTTTGCTCCAATGAATGAGATCTGGCAGATCTGCAAAATGAGGCTCTCCTTCCTTGTGCTGCATCTTGAGGGGTTGAGTCATCAACCACAGCAAAGTTAGTGGGCTGGATTCTTGAAAGGCACAACAGATGGAGCATTCTGGTTGGTTTTAATAACGCTGTGATGTTCCCCTCTGTGCTTCTGTCAATTTTAGAAGAAAGGACTCCGCATACAAATTTAAGTAGTGAATGTGGAAATCAAAGCTGAGCTAGTTACTTAATAGCAAAGTGTCTGCCCTCCGTGAGCTAACAGGAAAGAGTCCAAAACAAATCACTGGCTTGGGCTTTCTTCTTCCTTGTTTCTGTTTTCACTGCGTTTGGATTTTATCTTCTTTCTTTTCTTTCTTTCTTTCTTTCTTTCTTTCTTTCTTTCTTTCTTTCTTTCTTTCTTTCTTTCTTTCTTTCTTTCTTTTTCACTTTTGCATTGGAACTGCTGAAGGGAAAGATGGTTTTAATTAATATGAAGGAATGGAAAGAATTTTAGCTGGGCCTCTCTACTTAGCAGGGTGGAACTTTCTGAACGGAAGGATTTTTCTGAAGTTTTAATGAGAATGAGAATCAGTCGCCAAATACAAAGTCAGAAAAGGTTTTGTTTTCAGACAAGGAACAATAAGACTGGACGCTTGGATGAAATGCGATAGAGTGGAAATCGTCCTAATTACTTGAAGAACCAAACACTAGAAGTGTTTTCTATGCGATAGAAACAGCATAGAAGAAGAAGTGTAAGGAAAAGACAAAGACCTTCTGTCTAAGAAGATTCCTGTTTCTCTCAGTGGTCTCCTGCTGGGTAAAAGGCATAGAGGTAGTTTCTGTTTAAAGAACCCCATACTTTCTCTGGCTTTTGCAAACCCTTCAAGCTTATTAAACTTTTATTCAGGTGAAACGAGGGGGTAAAATCTTAAGGTAGGAAGCTCTTCACACCTTCTGGGAGGAGTTCTCTCATTTGAAAACGAGACTGAGGAGCTTTCCGGAAGGAACTTCGGAACTCTGGCTGTAGACCGAGTGTCTGTCCTTTACTTTCCACAAAGAAGCAGCACAAAGTAAAGCTCAGGACAAAGGGGTTTTATCAGAAACAGATAAAAGTTTGCCTTGCCTGAAAAGCCTTGGTCAGAGAAGAAATTCCCACTCTTCTTAAGCAAAGAAAAATTCACCATATGATTTTGTGTCCTCATTAAACACCTGAATCCCGGAGGCACTTTCTGGTTAGACACTAGCCGTCCGCATACTGAAACTTGATTTGTAGGTGTGAGAGCATATTATAAGTTTTCTGAAAAGAGAATTTTGACCGATAGTTGCTTGTTTTAAAACCCTGAACCCAATTTTTAATCAGCATTAAAGGTGTAAAGCAGAGCCAGGTTTCAATGCACAAAGCTCCTACTGAGTTCAAATTTCCAGATCCACATCAAGTTGGACACTGTAACTAACATGCATCAATAATCCCAGTGCTATTTACATGAGATACCCGAATCTCCCAGGCCATGTAGCCTGGGGAGCACAGTGGAGACAAGAATCCCTGTCTCAAACAAAATGGAAGACAAGGACCCTCACCTACGGTTTCCCCAGGCATCAACCCACATCCTGTCTCACAAGAGCATCCACACTCACACACAAAGTTAAAATAAGAAAAACATAAAGTGATTAACTTTGATAGAGATGGAGTGCCCCTATGAAACTGTAGTTCAATGTGATTTTAAAGTTTACTATTTAACCGAACTTAACCTTCTGATGCTCATGAGATCTGCTCTTCCTCACGTCCTAGATTACAACAGAAAAAGTTAGTTCTTTGAACTTCAAAGGTCTTAGTTTTCTTTCTAAATTGAACATTCAGTGAAGATTCCTTTCCCACACAAACATTTTGTTACAAAGTTCCCTGTAGCATGAATCTTAAATGGTCTTATTAATAAGATCAAACCTGAGGCCAGTTATTGGGGTGAACACTGGAAGATCAGAGAATCAGAATAAGCCACAGCTAACCTCACCTGGCCAACTTCTCAGCTGATCTTGTTTCCTCAGACTGGAAGCCTCTGTGTCCTCATATCCGAATGGCCCTCAGCTGAACTGTGCTGCTAGAAGCCTGAAAGCTTAACCAGCCAAATGCTTCTAGTTTCTGGCCCTCACGCCTTATATACCTTTCGACTTTCTGCCGTCACTCCCTGGGATTAAAGGCTCGCTTTCTGGGATTAAAGGCATGAGTCAACATGCTTGGCTGTATCCTTGAACGAATGGATTTCTGTTTCTGGAATGCTAAGATTAAAGGCGTGTGCTACCATTGCCTATCCTAAGTATTTAGTGGCTTTTCTGTTCTCTGACCCCAGATAAGTTTACTAGGGTACACAATATTTTGGGGAACACAATACCACCACAGTTCCCATTTGCTTAATCACTGCAAAAGCAACGGGAAACATTGAAGCAGCCTCAGCAAATGCAAGCCTTTGTAAACTGATTTCAGGAGTGTTGGTAAGATCTGCATCAACGTTCAAATGCCAAACCAAATGTTGACCTAACTGGGAATGTTGTGGTCTGAAATTTCTGACTTGGCAAGAGACAGCAATCAATTTTCATGTTTATATATGGTTGTTTTGCCTACATGTAACTCTGTGTACTATACGTGTGTGTGGTGCCTGAGTGGATCAAATGAAGGCTTCGGATCCCCTGGAGCTGGCATTACAGATGGTTGCCATGTGAGTTCTGAGAATTGAACCTGGGTTCTCTGGAAGTACAACTAGTGCTCTTAACCACTGAGCCATCTCTCCTACCCCAGGAGTACTGTCTTGAAGACTCGAAGAAGTCATTCTTCTCTATCTCCACAACTGCATACATCACACAACGCTGAAACTCCATATCCCTTAAACAATTCTCTTTCCCTTTCCCAGTCCCAGGGATAATCAACATTCTGTCTTCTGTTTCTACAGATTTTACTCTATTTCACAGATGAGTCATCTTTTGCTAGCAATTTTATCATATTCAGTATAATGAGCTCGAAGTTTATCTGTGTTATAACTTTGCTAGAATTCCTTTCATTTTAAAGCTGCATAACTTCCTATTGAAGGTACATAATCATATTTTGCTTATCTATTTGTCCTTTGATGGACACTTGTGCGTTTAAGCTTTTGTGCACAATGTTGTTATGAATGTCAGTATGCAAATATATCTTGAAGATCCTATGAGCTTTTCTTAAGTTGAATTGAACTAATGAAAGAAGGCATGGTGAGATTCCTCAGCTCATACTAGAGTGGTTAGCAGTATGGGTCATCATCATGCCCTTTGAAGTCAGAGGAAATCACATGGGATTGAGCCCTAAACTTATGGGACCTGACATTTTTGTAAATAGTTGCAGAAATAAGTTAACTTATGGAACAGACTTCTGGTACTGCAAAATTGGTAGTTTGAATTGTGACTTTCTGTATCATACAGAAGTTCTGTTTTTAGATTTTTGAGGAGCAGCCATACTGACTTCCACAGTGGTAGACCAGTGACTTTCCCATCAGCAGCGAATAAAATTTCCTCTTTCCCAACATGCTCACTGCTGTTTACTATTGCCTTTCTTGATAGCAATTTTGATTGTGGTGATGTGAAATCACAAAACAATTTCCCTAGTGGCTAAAGACACTGATAGTTTCAGATCAGGTATCCCAATGCCTCCAGAATTGTATTTCTTGCTTAAAATTGAGTTGATTAACCAGGGGCCTTGTGTGTTGTAGAATATTATTTTAAAGTGTGTTACTTTTCTTTATGTTGCATCTCTTTAGCTCTATGAAGCTGCATTACTTTGCCTGTCTAAAATATCTGATGCTCTAATAAAGAACTAAATGGCCAATAGCAAGGCAGGACAAAGGATAGGTGAGGCTGGAAGGCAGAGAGGGTATATAAAAGGAGAAATCTAGGAGAAAAAGAAAGAAGGAGCCAGGGAAGGAAGGAGGATCGAGGGATGAGAGATGGAGTAGCCAGAGAAGGAGGAGAACATCAGGACCAGTCATCCAGCTACACAGCAAGCTACGAAGGAAGAAAAAATGAAAGATATACAAAAATAGAGAAAGGTAAAAGCCCAAAGGTAAAAGCTAGATGGGATAAGTTAAATAAAGCTAGCTAGCAACAAGCTAAGACTAGACATTTATAATTAAGAATAAGCCTCCATGTGTGATTTATTTGGGAGCTGGGTGGCAAGTCCCCCAAAAGAGCAGAAACAAACAACAATA